ACTTGTAAATGTTGTTGTAAGACATTGATAAAAACACCAAAACAAATTAGAAAGGATGGAAAGAGAACAGGGAATAAAAATCATCACCAGATTGGATGTCATATGAAATTCATATAGAATTCATACATTGTCTATGGGCTAACCTTGTAGCTTCATGAACAATCAGTATTAACAAAGTTAAAAATAACTTTTGGGGATCATAATTAACAATTTATTTTCAAAACTTTTACAGAAGATGGAATAAAATGGAAGACCTGTTTGAATTTATAATCTTGGTGGAAGAGCCCAAAATTCTTCTTCCCAATCATTCAATGTAAGTATTTATTGTTTTAATGAGGTCAACATTCCAATTAAGTTCATTAGTCTTATTGTCAGCTTATCTAAAGGAAAAATCAATTTCAAAACCAGGGTAAAAAAAAAGAGCCTTCCACTCTAGAAAGTCAGTCTAGCTGCAGTAACAAATGCAACATTTATATGTGACATAAATCCTTTGAGGCATTGTCCTAAAAGTCAATGTCATGACATTATTAAAAAATTGTTCCTAACAGATTAACCTGCTGTTTGACAAATCTGAAACAGTTGATGCCATTAAATCTTATCTATTATTGCAATTAAAATAAATTAAGTTCAAAAGAATAGCAATACCTACATTTCTTATGTGTAGAGAAGTTAAGAGAGAAAGAAAAAAAAAACAAGTTTTTCATAATTTTTATGAAGGTAATAATTGGTGTGGATAAGCTGAAGGCAGAAAACAAATCCTCTTAAAGGATTATCCCACAAACTTGAATAGAGGATTATTCAATAAGTATTACAAAAGGACCAAACAGAAAAAGTAAAAAAAAATAAATAAATAAAAATGAAGAGTCGGTATCCCACAAATACAAGTACTTTGTGCAAATAAAGCAATTAATATTTTTTTTATGATGATAAATAAAGTATATATATATATATATATATATATATATATATATATAGTACCCCCTCCCTACTGATGGACTATTTAATTGATTTTTGTCTGAGCCAAGTAACTAATGAACAGGTGACATCCAATGAACCATGTTTGCGTGTGGGTAACTCGTCAAACAGGGAAAGGCAAATAATTATTGAATAAATATTCAATCACAAATTGTGAACAGAAACAGATAAACAATTATAAATCTGCCAAATTAACTAAAAAAAAAACAAAAAAAAACACACTAGCAGGGTTAACTGACAAAATAGTTTTCAAGATAACCTTTGTTGGATAATTTGTGTGTGTCACATCCACATTTAACAGAGGAGTTAAAAGATAAAAAGACAAGCAGTAAATAGAAAGAATCAATGGAAATTTTTCAAATAAAAAAAATTGGCAATCATAATTGTGTGATGATTGTTCAAATCTTTGCTGGATGGTTGTTCTTTACAATTTACACTGACATAATAGAGACCCGTCAAAAATGACTAATAATGAAAACATTTCGTCTAAGAAAATGTGGAAACTATTTGCAATGAATTAAATAAAAAGTCAAGTTCCTTCTCATTTTCCCAAGTCTACAGAAAAAGGATAGAATAAGCACCAAATAATCTCAAATCAAAAAAATGGTTCTCTACCACTTCCATTCAATGCTAGAACTCCCAAAACAGAATTTAGGAAGAAATTCTTCATTTAGTACTTTTTTCAATTTAGTCTTAGATAAAATGGGAACAATTACAATATAAGAATTAAATAGAAAATAATTGAAATGAAAGTCAATTCAAATGCATCAAGAAAGTAACTCCATGTAAAACAATGCTTAATATTTGTGGAGATATCATTTCTAAAATATCTGTAATGCGATGATATGAATAAAAATAAAAATTAGAACAAATTTTTCTTTCTTAATCAGATTAATGAAATTTCTTTTTATTGTTTATGCTTTAAAATCATGCCAAAAAATACCTAGATTTATTTTAATAGAATTTTTTGCAACACACTGATGGATGTTGAAATCCTCACAATATTTAGTACTAGCAGTAGAGCCCGGCGTTGCCCGGGGATGTAACAGTAAGAGATAGATCAAGTATCGACCATCATAAAGACTGAAAAATAAAATTGACAAAGATTATTGTTTAAGGTTGACAGACACACATGTCTTAATTAGTTTTTTTTTTTTTAAGAATTGGTCAAACCCAAACTCAAACAAAAACATTGTTTTCAATCATTATGAGTCTATCAATTGAATAGAATTTTATTATAAACAATTGTCTTGTAAATGGAATTTTTAAAGCATTCTGAATGTAAAAATAAAGGAAAAAGTGTGCAAGACAATACAAAACACTACCTGTCAAAAAAAGTGAAGTTTTGTTGAAATCGGTTGAAAAATGTAGGAAATCCAATCCCATATGTAAACGAACACACACACACACACACACACAAACAACCTGGGTTTTATAATAAGTATAACTCGATATGAGTTGTCCCCCTTTCATTCTGGTGACAGAATCGTGTTTTATCGTGTTTTCAAATTGATTTCGTGCAAAAACAATTGTGTTTTTCCAATTTTTGGTGCTGTCAGAACCACCGCAAGGTAATTTTATGCAGTCCTGTGAAGTTTTGTTGAAATCGGTTGAAAAATGTAGGAAATCCGATCCAATATATAAACGTACAGACACACACAATCTGATTAGATTATTGAAGTTATTGCTAACATTTATTTTGAGATTTATAAACTCTATTCTCCTTACTGTGTTTATATTTACAGTGGCTATTGTGCATTATATTTTAGCAGAACAAAATGTATATAAAAACTTAAAGAAGAGATTTGCAAAAAAAAAAAATAAAAAAAAATAATGCATTTTTATTAAATGAGTATTTATTTAATCATTAAATTGATTTTAAAATACCAGGAATATTTTGTATGTTAAATAACAGAACTTAATTTTTCCCCAAAAATCAATGAAAATTTATTGTCCTAACCTATGTATCCTAGTAAAACCAACTGTACTTTGTACCCCCTTACCTGTTTGCACTTCTTCCCCAGATTTGGTTTTGATCGGTCAATGTATGGCTATTTTAGAGGGTGTGAAGGACTAACAGAAATTATAGAATTTTATATATAGATTACATAGTATAGTGGTTATAGCTGGACTCCTCCTGCCAAGCTTTATTGCTACCAGATCTGGGCAGGACCAGCCTAATCCTCACTTTTCAGTCCCCACCAAAGTGTTTGTGTGGCTTTGTGAGTGATGAATTGTTTTCCACCCTTCAACTACTTTCCTACAAATGGAACATTCATAGCTCTACCATTATTTTCATGGCAGATATTCAGGTGAACTACATTACTTGGCTGTGGTGGTAACACAACGACTCAACTGATAGTAGCAGATAGGGAAAAAAAACTGCAAGGAGGGTAACCGACAAAACAGTGTCACACATCCAACCTTCTCACGAGCAAAAAAAAACAGTTCCACATTTCCGGCTGGCGTGATTATCATGCCTCCTAACGCTCAGATCGCATCGATCCCAAGCAGCAAGTCGTAACTGAGGGGCCTTTGACGTGCCACCAAAATGTCGACCTTGGCATGATTCCCTCCGTCTGTAAGGATTGATACAGTCCCGACACCACAACAAGTCCGGGACACTCCGTTAGTCATCTGAGACCACCTGGCATAAAACATGGGCGCCGCCATTTTTGTTCCTTTTACCATTGAGCAAACCGGAGTTTGCACATCGCACAGATTCGCAGACGTTTCCGAGGTAGGCCATTTTCACAATTTTCCCCACATTGACTCCACTAGTACAGACGTTCCCAGTCAGGAAAGTTTTCAAAATCAGTTACAAATTTAATTAAGGAGCAGATATCATTTATTTGTTCTACCTTATTAAAATGTGCAATAGTAAAATAGTGCACCAGTTTTGCACTGAATTCGTCCATTAATAAACTTCAGTTAATGTAACTTTTACAGTTAAAACAATTTTCATAACAAAAAGTGGCATCAGTTTTAAAGTCAATCTAAACAATTAAGTATACATTTAAAAGGAAAATAATGAAGATTATTAATGGGGGAATTATTCTATTGAAATTGGAAAACTGAAAAATTATTTTTTTATAATTTTCTTTCTTATAAGAAGAGAGTATTTGCAATAACAACAAAATTAATGTGGATATGTGCTCTATCTGGAAACTATCCAGCCATTTTGTATATCTCAAGAATTGATTGTGCAGCATTGATGTAATTTGACACTGAATTAGAAGGGACCATAGTGTACATGCATAAACAGCCATGCTTCCATGGGATTACTCACTCAGCAGTTACCTACACTGAATGAGCTTGTGTACTTATTGTATTCATTATGACATTGTTTTACACACAAAACTTTTTGCGAAACATCCAAATCTGTCAGATCCCCAAACATTCCAGATTTGGCTCCCTGCAATTTCTGGCTTTATCATTGTTGAAAGAGAAGGAGATTTCAAACCATAGGTGAGATTAAGGAGAACATGACAAGTCAGCAGATGGTGATCCCAAATGAGAAATTTGCAGACTTTTTAAAAATAGAAGGGATACTGAAACAAATATGTAAGATTCAAATCGGTGTATTTTGAAAGGAACTAATTTACCATTGCCAACTATTTTTTCATTGATATTAAATGGCTGGATTTTCCCAAGACAGACCTCATAATGCCTATAACACTGTTATGCAATTAGGAGAGGAAATAAAAGAAACACGAAAAATTCTTGAAGAACATAAAACAAAAAATCTCTAATGCATGAGTGAACATATCAGGAAAGCAAACACTTTATATAGCATTTCCCATACACTATGGAATGAGAATATTAGAAGAGAATGTCAAGAGTGAAGGAGGTTGTGTACATGAGCCTGAAAAAAGTGTTTTAAAAGGATTCAAAAAAAAATTTCACCTGCCAACTCATCATTCACCCAACTCCACATAGGTCTTGATACCTGTTAGTCCAGAAGCACCTCTGCATATCAAGGACTTCTCTTAGTATAAGTAGCAACATCATATCCATCGCGTAACTTACAGCACCTGGTATTCTCCAGCAGTCACACATCTGAGTACTGACCAGACTCAATGTTGCTTAACTTCAGTGATTTGACAAGAACCACTGTTTCAATGTGATATGGCCGTAAGCATTCCTCTGTTTCTTTCTTCTTTTTATGTGCCATGTCCTTTCAGGACATAGGTGATCATGGCCATCCACATCCCCCGATCCCTTGTGGCTCTCAACAGGTTTTGTGTTTCTGCCAACTCCCCCAGACCACGCTCTGCCATCCACCTGCCCAAGCCTGCCACATATGTTATGCACTGCTTTCCCCTTTGTCTTTCCCCCCCTCTATTTGTCCTGTGAGTATCAGATTCTCCAGGCCCTCCTTTCTCATCATGTGTCCCAGAAATTTCATCTGTCTCTTCCTTATGTTAAGCATAAGCTTCCTCCTTGTTTGCATCCTCTCTAAGACTTCATTGTTGCTCACATGCTCGGTCCATGATATTCTAAGCATCCTTCTATAAAACCACATCTCCGCCACCTCAAGTCTCGTCTTCATCCTTGAGGATACCGGCCAACATTTGCTGCCATATAGGAGGACAGATGTCACATAGCAGCTCAGTACTCTTTTCTTTGTCACCATAGAAATCCTCCTGTTTCACAGTACTCTGCCCAGCTTCTTGAATGAATCCATGGCCATCCCAATCCATCTTTGGATCTTAGCGTCACACCTACCGTCCTCTGTCAGAACACTTCCCAGATACTTAAACTTCTGCACATGTTTGATTTTAGTGTCCCCAACCTGCAAATCACATTTTGGGCTCACCCTTTTACTAATGACCCTGCATTCTGTCTTCTTGTAGTTTATGGTTAGTCCTTTCTTCTTGCTCTTCCTCACTACCTTCTGTAGGAGGTTTTGTAGTTTTTCTGTGTCTGCTATCGTGTCATCTGCATATCTTATGTTGCTAAGGTTGTGGCTGCAATGATAAATCCTGCTAGGATCTCCAGTTCCCTTCAGAATTGCCTTGCTGTATAGGTTCAATAAGTCTGGTGAGAAGACACATCCTTGCCTCACGCCTCTTTCTATTTTTGTATATTTGCTGAGCTTATTCTCAATGCGATTGCATGCCATTTGCTGCCAGTATAGGTTCTTGATTATTCTGATATCTTTCCCAAATATATCAAGGTTGCTGAGCAGTTCTAGCAGGTCCTTGTGGCATACTTTGTTGAATGCCTTTGCGTAGTCTACAAAACACAGATACACGTCCTTCTGCATTTGTATTGCTCTTTCTGATAACATTCTAAGCATGAATATTGCATTCATTGTTCTGGTGTATTTGATGAACCCACACTGTTCTTATCCTATCTCTGGTCCAATTCTGCTGTGTGCTCTATTCATCAGAATACGGATGATGAGTTTTGTGATGTGACTCATTAGGCCGATTGTTTGGTTGATGCTTGCGTTCATTTGCACCTGCTTTCTTAGGTAGTGCTATGAAAATAGATCTGCTGAGATCATCCGGTATGTCGCCACTGTTGTAGATTTCATTTATTATTTCTATGATCTTGTCTATGCCAAATTCATCTAAGGCTGTCAGCATTTCCGTTACAATTCTGTCTTGCCCTGCCGCCTTGTTGCTGTTCAATTTAGCCAGTGCAGCTTCTACTTTGGGTTTTTATGAAATTAAAATCAGCTACACTGGGAAGTCAAGTTGAAGACATGAAGCATTAAATCTTTTTTTCTGATCTTTATTCTTCCTCACCTTTTGTCTTAATACATTTGTATATATCAATATATACTCTTTAAATATTTGGTTTTAAAGACATAACTCCAACAATTATACACATTTTGTTCTTGTTGATTCATTTTCTACAGCTTATCAACCCTTTGCAGGTTATTTAAAGCCAGAAAATATTTTTAGATTGTAAGAATTATTTTTTTTCTTGAGATAATAATCATTTTAGTGATATGTCTTATTAACCTATAGCTGGGAGGAGGAGGAGGAGAAGGAGAGGTGGATTCATATCTTTGCCAAGAGGATTTGCACTTAAGTGAATATAACAAACCCAACCAGAATTAAAAGCCCTTACCCATTACCCACCCACACATCCAAGCTTACAGCACCTGGTATTCACAAGGAATCACCCATCTCTGTACTGACCAGGCTTGATGTTGCTTAACTGTATGGGAACTGATATTTCAATATGATGTGGCTGTAAGTCCAAGTTGATTTTTTGTTAATTTCAAATTTGCGTAAGCATCTTAACCCATAAAGATATTGGAATTCATTACTATACATTCATAACTCTATATCTCCAGCAATTTAAATATGACAACTTGCACTACATTTCTAAATGATCAGAGATACTTATCATGAAAGTAAATTGTCAAACACATACAGTTTCTTAGTAAAAATGAAACAAATTATTATTTTCGGCTTATTTCTTTTCCTCAGCATTGAAGGAAGAAAAAAATCTTCACAGGTAAATTATTCCCCTGAAGAGTACAAAAATGCGTCAACTGAAATGTAGGGAAAAAGAATATTAACCCAAAATAACTCAGAACAATAATAAATGCACAGCATAAACAGACCAGGTGACCAAGTCATATTAAAGCATTAAGTAAATAAATAAGAAAGATTATATATATATATATATATATATATATATATATATATATAGAAAAGGGAAATGTTATAGCTGTTGCAACGAGAGAAAAGTGTATATTTTAAAGAGAAAAATTCTTCTCTTTAATATATATATATATATATATATATATATAATAAAAGGATGTATCAAAAGTATTTTCCTTTTTTTATAGAAATGACTAACACAAAAACCTATTTCATGTACACAGCTAAAGATTATGTTTGAGGGCCACACCAAAAGTAATACCCTCTATTTTATTAGCTGGCTCAAGATGCCAGATGTGAATGTTGGTAGTATAGCAGTAGAGGATATTTTTTTTTTGCCTTGAGCAACAGTCTGGAAAAATGACATCTGATATGAAAGTGCATGCAAAACATGTGTATCATTGAATTCCTCCAAATAGAAAAAAAATGAGTACCCCACATATGATACCAATATTATGTCATATCATCATCAATAGTATTCACCTGTGCCTTTTATTTCAGATGTTATAATGACAGGTACAGGTCTTGAAATTTTGACAATCTTGAGGCATTATTTTAAACAGGTTTCAAAGCTGCTAAAGTTTAAATTTACTGACCAAAACCAGTTCAAGTGTTTTAAAGACGGTGACTTGTTCTTTGAAATAAAACCCAGAAGTGAACAATCGTCCATTGTCATTAATGATGCTTAAAAACGTAAGGTTGAAGAAAATACAGCTACCTTAACTCAAAGACTTTCTGAAGAGCTAAAACAATAGGATCATTAAAAGACATATCAAGCCAAGATACTTTTGATGCATTCTAATATTTATTAAATAGTCAATCTCCAAGATTAATTTTCTTTTAAATTCTGACTGGATGCAAAAATGTTCTTAGCTTGAGCAAGAAGGAATTTTTTTTTAATGTGGAGATCCTACCAGAAAACTAAAATAGTGAATGGTGACATTAGCATCAATTGAGCAGATCCCAAAAGATTTATATGGGGAAGGGAAGAATTAGAAATCTGTAGGAGAAAAAAACCCATAAAACACATTTTAAATAATTTAAGTGTCTTTTTGAAGTTAAATTTTGGTTTTATTTGAAAGATAATAACTTAAAACTAATCTGTATTAAAAGAAAAGTAAATTTCCACACATAAATGATTTTAGATATTTTTTAAAAATTGGTACGTTCACTTGTCACTCTCATTATAGATGAAAAATGTAAACAAATTTAAAAATCCAATATTTCTCCTAGAGATTTGTTTCAAAGTTAATTAGTAAATTTAAGTATCAATAACTGAATTTTGTAGATATAATGCATACTTTTTTTGCTTAAAATATGTTTATTTACACACAGTAGCCTGTGATGTCATACATAAACAACAATAGTTTTGTCATGTAATCTGTGATTTAAAAAGTGCACAAAAATTTTTTAAATTATAAATATAAAAAAGAAATTAATTAAAAACTAGTGAAATGATACTTTTGAGTTTATTTAATTAATTTTATTTTTTTTTTATTATTTTCTTATCTGTTTGATGTCATAAAATATTTCATTTCACTCAATGTGGTCTTATTTCTAATTATTCGGAATTTAAGAGTTATTGATTGAGTTATCATATTGGTAATAGTAGTTAGTTAAAGGCGATAATTCAAAATTATTTCCTTTTTGAACATCCATACAAAAAATAATCTAACAGTCGCTAAAATGAAAAAAATGAAATTCTTGAAAAAAAAAAAAGGTTCACACTCGCGAAAAGGACATTCATTAAAATAAAACTTACATTTTTCGATTCTTCAAACACATCTTATTTTTAATTATGAAAAAATCGATATTTAGTAAGAGATGAGTTTCATCAAAGTTGCAGTAGTGAAAACAAAAATTACAAGTCTTTTTTTTTATAAATAAGTAGACAGTAGTTTTTTTTTATCTACTGAAAGAAAATGTGTTTTTTATTAAATTATGCAGGCAATTCAATTTTTTTTTGTTTGTTTTATTTGGATTATTTTTGGTAAGGTTTCGATATGAAATTTATTTCACTAATTTCACAGTATGGTCACACTTCTTGGTTGATACTGCATACTTTTTTTTTACTGAGATAACAATAACATCTTCAACGATTTTACTTTTTTTTTAAGTAAAAAAAAAAATGTGAACACTCCACCCAAATTAAAAGGTACACATGAGATATCGAAAAAGAAAGGGGTGATGAAACAGACCCTCCAAAAAACATTTCCTCAAAAATAAAAAAAAAATGATACAGTTTGAGTAAATAATTCATTCAATCATTCATTAATGAAAGTAGCGAAAATTTCCTTTGAATTGGATAATTCCTTGATTTTTGGTATTTTTTTAAAAATAGAGAGGATGGGTATTTATTCATTAAAAAACGAAACAAAAAAAAAACAAGCGCATCTTGGGGTACTTAGAAATCCAAAAGTCAGGAATTGGTATCACTTGATCTCTAGAGTAAAAGAGAAGTTATCTATCGTAGACAAGTTACTAGCATAGTAATTGTTTTTTTTTTTAAAAAAAAAAAAAAAAAAAAAAAAAGAAGAAGAAAGAGGGTTTTTCTTTAGGTATGGATCGGCATTTCTGTTTCGAATCAACAAAGTATCGTTTCCTGATACTTCTCTCTCTTCCTATGATCAAAATGTGTGCTTCTTTGTGAAAAAAATAATGAATGAATTAATAAATATTGCGTTTTTAGACGAATATCTGCGTGTGACTCAACAACAGTGTCAAAGGAGCAGTTCAGGTAAGGGCGTCATTACTAATTAACAGTACACTTTATTTTTTAGTCAAATTTTAATAATGTAAAACTATTTTTATAGAAATGTGGCATATGGTCAACTGATTTGGCTGGGTAATGAATGAGTTTCTTGAGGGTGGATCAGTTCAAAAGAGTTAATAATCACTAAGCAACAAATTTGAGGATCATTAAAAAAATAAATAGATAAATAAAGATAAATTTACTCTAAGAATTTAATTTAGAACTAAGACACTAAATAAATATGATATTTAGAAAGAAACCAAATCCAACAAGCAATCTCCTCTTAAAAGAGCGAATAATAATGTTTATCAATTTATCTCTACTAATTCGCCGAAAACACAGCATCATAGCATGATGAAAAAATCCTCAAACTCAATAAAAACAAAGTTTTATTGCCAAAATATTTATACTATATTATTAAGAGGAAAGACCAAAGTACTTTTTAATTATTTTCTAAAATTTTTTAATCCTTTCTAGCACGTTCGAAATTTTGGTTTAAAAATCTTGTTTTTTTACATCAGCAGTAACCGTACGTAATAGCATAAACTTTTAAGTACTTTGTAACCGTTGTGCATTAACAACTTAGAAGTATCAAAGACACATGTGTACTGCAAAATATAAACAAAAGATATGGCTTTTTAGAAAATAAAAAAGACTTTTAAGACCGAATATATCGCAACTGATAAACCCAACAAGAATATTTTAGAAGGTAGGGAAACATTTTAACGCACACAAAAATGACTGCCGTTTTTTGATTGGTGATTTTATTTTATTTTATTTTTTTTATATATATATTTTTATATAGAAAAAAAAGATTAATAAAAATTGTTTAAAATGACTAATGAAGGCGAAAGCCAAACAAATACAAAGCAAATATTTTAAAGAAATTCGCTAAAATATCGAAATATAAAGCAAGGTTAAGAAACTTCCTTATCATTTTTTGTTAAAAAAAATAAATAAATAAATGAAAGAAAAACGACTTTTAAAAGTTTTTTTTACTAAAGATGATGTCGTCATAAATGACACTTAAAAATCAATTAAAAACTTCTCAAAAAGACATTTCAACTAAAAATCAATCAAAAAGCAAAACATGTGAAAATAAATAACAATTATAGGCAAAAAAAAACTAAGTTGATCATTTTAAAACTTAATTTAGATCGCCATCATCAGCATGAAACAATACGCCACTCACAGCAAATCTACAAGTAGATAATTATCACAGACAATACTTAAAAAGAAACTATATATTTAAAAATCCATTAAATCTATATACCCATATCAACACTAGAAAACCAGTTATTTGATTTAGAAAACAACGATTTGCTCAAATGAGCAACGGCTTTTTTTTTTTTTTTTAACATGAGACTTTTAAAAGTGAAAAATGAATCCCGCAAAAACAAGTTGAAAGGACCGTATTTTTTCCACGTATACCGATACAAGAAGGGAGTAAAATCAGACATCTTTGACTAGTTTGGCTAAACGTGCACAGAAACGAAGGTAGCAATAATAAAAGAAAGTTAATGGAAAGAAAAAAACAGAGAAATGTGCAAGAGAAGATTGCCACTCACCATTGTATATATTCTCTTGGCCCCGGTTACTATGTGACGTCACGGCACTAAACTCACGTTCAAATCTCGCCAATTTTCACTTCTCGGAGAAGCCTGAGAATTTGGTTTTTTTTTTTTTTCTTTTTTTTTTTGCAGGATGAAATATTGTAATTAATTTAGTTGTATGTCTTGAAATATTGTAATTAATTTAATTGTCTGTCTTGAAACTTAATTTTATTCCTCTTGTCAAATTTTGAATATATGTATTGCATTCAATATTTCAATAAATTATTTTTCATTTGGAAATATGTAGTATTTTCAAAAACAACAAATTGTTTCATGAAAGAAAGAGTGTTGTAAATTTTTATATTACCCCTGTTTATTAGCAATGATGTTTTTTTTTTATCATTAAAACAAGTATAAAAATAAATAAAAAAAGAAATTAAAAAAAAGAAGTAATGTAAGATAATTAAAAGGTGAATATAAAATAATTTAAAAAATAATATGATACACTAAGTTTGTTTATTGCTTTTTCTCTTCAAGGAAGAATATCAAAAATTATATTTGAAAAAAATGTAAATTTAAGAAATGATTAATAAAAAAGTGTAGATAAAAATAAGTAAATATAACAGTCTAAGTTTCTTTATTATGCTTGCTCTAAAGAGAAGTATTTTTTAAAAAAAAGCTAGATGGTCAATAAAAACTTTGTGGGTTGCCAAAAACACCTATTAGAGGGTGCTCTTTAATTCTATAAAAAAACAATCATATTCTCTCTCTCTCTTTCTATTTTTAACTTTTGCTTCCAGATGTAGTCGAATGTAGATAAAGAATGCTGCTGCTGAGGTGCATTTATTTCCTTGGTTCCCTGTTGACTTTTGAAAACTTTCTCTCTCACACACACACACACACATATACACGTATCTATTGTCGGAGTTAACTCCTCCTTTAGTTCGTTAATCCTTTCACCAGAGGTCTCTCTTCCTTGGCTATAAATAGTCGCTGACCCTTCGCCTCTTCCTCTTTTTGTCTCAGGTTTTCAGCCTTACCACCTCACAGATGTGAATGCTCACAGATACAGCATTTCCCAAATGCTGGGAACATGCTAAGCACAATACACGTACGTATGAACACTCATCACAACACAACACACACACACGCATAATATTTACCACACACACTCTGTTAATGTAACTGTCCATGTAACTTGTACCTTTCTTCTTGTTGTTAATACACATATTTGTTTACATATATTTATCGGTCTTGTGTTTGTTTTTCTTTGCCTTCTTTGGACTTTAATTAAAGTTCAGCTTTCTCATATAGTTGGACAGGCTAGCAGGAAAATCTTAACCCACATGTATTCATCTACTTATACTCAACGACATCGCCGACATACGGTCCTCTACACTATCACTGTGTGAAACTGATCCAAGTAATCTCTTTCCAACTGACAAAGTCTCCCTGTACAAGCAGTACCGCGTTAAAAAACAAACTCAACTATACTCTCTCACATTGTGATCTTTATGCCCAGCTGATCTTGCAAAAAAAAATGTGCATATATTCCCCCACTCTCTCGAATTCTTTTGACTCCGAGACCATGTCTTTCTTAAATTAAGGTGCCAGGGCAGCCATATTTCTTTTTCTTTTCCTTTCCAGGTCAATGGATTGGAACACTTTGCCCTCTTCAACCACCACCCGAACAGCTGCCTTTGAGACCTCAGGTTGGATCCATCATACAAAGTACTAGGTGCACTTCACACCAGGATGTCCACTACATCGATGGATGGCTTGAATGTGGATTGATTCCTGCTCTTCTGTAGATGCAGTGCACACTGGTTCTGTTTCTTTCCAAACCACACTGAGCTAACATTGAGGCACTTTGGTGAGCTGATCAATTCAGTTTGCATGGGATTTGACAAGCTCTATGTTGACAGCCAATTTATACCAGTTCCTTGATTGTACTGAGCTGATGTCTTATCAACATTTCTGTCGCTGCCTTTGTGCACACTCGAGACTTTCCAGACAGCATATCAGAAAACCATCATATGTTGAGTCAGTCTTTAGGTGAGCCACAGTCACTCTCCATTGCAGTGCCATGTTGATGCCTCTCAAGATCGCGTCAAGCTCTGCCAGGTTGATATGCTTGCATTCCTGTTCTGATCACAGCCAGCAGGCATCTTCAACTAGGGATTTGCCATTTTCCACAATGACTCCAGTGGCCAAGGAGCTTGCATCAACCCACATGGTAACTTTGCATCCATCAACACACCAATCGCCTTGTGCTGGATCCTACTGTACCAATCTGAGATTGATGTCAGTCAGCATCTGAGTCAATGGTGGGTCCTGTACTTCATTGTCCCAGCTAGTTGTCACAGTGTTGAGTGAGTCAGTCGTTCACTTTTGAACCGACTGCTTGGTTGAACTCTCTTCCTACGGATGGGAGGATCCCGAAGGAGGCTACGCCGAAGGGCGGAGTCTCTTTCGGGGAGGTAAAACTGGCCCTGAACACGTTTATACAGGTTCAATGGGCATATTTTTGGCCGAGCCCACGGGCTCAGAATGCCCACGTTAAAAAGGCCTTGTGCCACATGACACCCTCGTGGGGGGTGACTCAATATCATGTTGGCATGCCGTTTTATGAATGCAGTTACGACGTGGAGCCAGCCACATACTGGCAAATGTCCAGTCAACTTCCAACACAGGGAGAAAATGCCCCAATGAGTGAGCCTGTTAGGCAATGGTGGGAGGTCTCTCCTGTGACTCCATTGCAATTTGCCCCGCTCCTCCCATACACATAATCCCAGCACATGGGTGCCATTCTCTAAACACTCTGGATGCCTCAACATTGATAGGGTGCCTGTTGCTCACGTCAAGTTCAATATGTCCTACCGCAGAGCACTTGAGGGTCCTTTCACCAACAGTGAGCATGTTCACTTCTTTCCTCTTCCAAGAGCGACAAAGCAGTCTGCTTGCAAGTGATTAAGAACAACCTGTGTTTAGCAAGGCTAAACTTCCGATTCCATTGATGTATACAGCAATTGTGAGTAGCACCTCCTTCATATGGAGCTCGGGGAGTAGACTGGGACTGAGACCTATTCCCCAAGATCATTTCCCAGGCAATTGCAGACTACATGGCCTACCATATTTCAATTGTGACATCGCATCCAGAGTGTCCACCTTGAATAGCATGCTATGAAGCCACGTGGATCTCTGGTAAGAAGCTTCCTCGCCTCATCCCATGTTCGCACCATTGCAATTACCAGTCCCTTTTCCAATATCTAATCTTTCATAATTGCTCATGCTTGAGTCAACAGCTGGCCAATAGACAATTCATCCATCCGGCTTGAAGCGTGAAGGAGATGTTTTAATTCAGTCTGGTAACCCTCACATGAATGCGCATGCCAGGCCATGGTTTGCTCATTCCACCGAACAAGACAGAAAGTTTTTGTAACTCCAACATCCACCAATTCTCTGGGATAGAGCCGTCATTCAACTAGTTTCTCATAAGCCAGAAAACCATAGCAAAAGCTGTGTACAGTGCAGATTTTATCTGGCTGAAATACTCTTGTTCTTCCTCTCTCAGCTGCTGGTAGACAGCAAACGCACCACCCATTAGCCTTAAAGGTACTACATGTTCTGAATGTTTAACCTGGCACATCTTACAAACCAGCTCAGCCTTCTCAATCTATTTGACCACAGATGGTCCAGACACAGAGCTGTCAAACTTGGGAATAATTTTGAGGTCAAACTTCTCCTCCATCATTTTCACCAAAATAGCTTGTGTGAAATTGATCCAAGTAATCTCTTTCCAACTGATGACGTCACTCCGTACAAACAGCACTGCGTTCAAAAAATGAATTGAGCATTACTCTCTCACCTCATGATTTTTATGCCCAGTTGATCTCACAAAAAATTTACATACATTCACTCAATTTCCCAAATTCTCCTAGCTCCAAGACTATGTCTTTCTTAAATTAAGGTGTCAAGGTGGCCATATTTCTTTTTCCTTTCCTTTCCTTCACTCATTTTGCACGCCAGGCATATACGTGCTCGCTTTGCCACATGAGGTAAGTCATCTTCCCTTCTACAATCACATACAAGCACATTCCTATAGCTCGTTTTAGTGTACACATGTAATTCCTTTTGTTAATAACATGCATTGTTGTTTGTTTTATATCCATTGTTTTGTGTTCACATTTTTTCCCGGACTTACATGAGTCTGTCAATATTGTTTGTGGAATAAATATATAAATTTTATATAAAATGTCTATAGACAACATAAACAAAGAGATGATACCTGTAACAAGTTAACAAATAAATTTGATGTGAAAGATTTGTACTCTAAACTTTCTAAGAATAGAATGACTAAAAAAAAACACCTGAAAATAAGTCAATCAAAGGAAGACTGATTTAATTTTAAAGTTTCCAAAAGATATACACCTGTGGTGAATGCACATTGGTACAGATCCAAAAGAGGCCCCAGATGGCATGCAGACATATTTGCCAATACCAGTTACATCCGGATTTTCCCCATTAGCAGCAGGATAGCTTTGCATATCTAGCTATGGGCCTCTCTGCAGCTGGTCTTTGTAACATGCCTTATGCTAATAAAAGTAACAAGAAAATCAACATTCAGAAGTTGGCAAGACATGGTGTCTTGTGAAGTCGGTCCAGTGGACATTTTATTCCTAAAGTAGCTGTGGTTCCTGAGGCAGTTATTTTGTTACCTCCCATCTCTTTCCCCTTTCTGCCTATTATCCTCATAGTTGCTGGAAGAGTAATTGGTTAAGCATTTCCCACAACCTCAACACACTCTTGTAATACATTATAACAACACCTTTGGATTTCTTGATCAATCAGGAGAGTGAAATTTAAACATTGAAAACCATTTGGAACAAGAAAAGAGATGGTATAAGGATATGTTAGGATCCAGAATGATGATGATATTTCATCATTCTAAAATTAACCTTGCTATCAGTGACGATAGAAAATGCCACTAGTGATAAAAGTTAAGAAAGATATTTCAT